TTCACGTTTTTAATTTAAAAAAAACTAGGAGAAAATACTTTGAATATAAATTTTACTGAATCTGAAAAGTCTATACAAAAAATTTGAAAAAATATACAGTGTTTTCATCACTATTCTTGATCTGTCATATTCAAAGGTTCTGATTGATGATAAAACCAGCAACAATCGAGTTCAAATTTTCGTGAACATTTCAATGGAAATCGATCCGAAAATCTTTTATCTAGAGTAAAATCTCCATTGGTTGCATGCTTGCGGAGATTCTGTTGTGAGAACTTTGTAGTAAAAGTGAATAACATATGCTAATGATTGTTTGAGTATTTAGTGAAATTTTGTAAAAGAACTGAATATTTATAAAACATCGAATAATTGAAATGTTGTGCCTAGTTGACATTTTAAAGTTTTCCCTGTTTAGTTATTGTAAAAGTGTTCATAGAGTAGTGCGTTACTAAGCAAAGATGGGCGGTTTATTTATTAAGAATAATAGTTTTCTACTGCTTTTTTGACGATTTCAGTATAAAATTGATAACTGACTTGGAAAATATGAAAAAATATATGTTTGTGCTAACCTTTGAAAATTTCAAGATGATAATATACATCATTCTCAACCCAAAATTCATTTTATAGAAAATCAGATTTGAAACAGCAATAAAAAATTATCAAGTTGAGAAAATCATTTAAAGACGTTTAGCAAAGGATTCATGGTATTAATTCAGCTTCAGATTATTGAACGTTCGTTGAAACGATACATTTTTCCATCAAAAGTTCCTTTTTCAAATAAAATTTTGTTCAAATTGGATTAATTTGATAGATAGAAGTTGAAGCAGAAACTGAGAATATGAGAAAATTTATTTCAATAGGAGTTTTGAGTTAATTTTACTAAAATTTCGCTTATAAACCATAGTTTGAGAAAACTCCGACATAAAAGGTGTCAAAGATTTATATTTATGTGTAGTTCATTAGAAAAGTTTGTTATCATTTGATATATAAGGTAACTTTTTATGAAAAATCAGATGTTTTGAGGATAATTTCAGTAAAGTAAACTAAATCCGACATCTTTTGGAAGAAGATACATGAAGCATAAATCAAAAAATTGCTTTCAAGATCTACATTTCAGAATTTTTTTACTATATAGTTTTTTTGCTTAATAAAAATCCGAAAATAACCAAATTTTTCCAGTTTTCACCTTGATTTCCTTTGCTAAATCATTTTTGTGAGACGCGCTCTTTTAGAAGTTTTTGAATATTGTAGATATTAATATCTAGGTTCCCTTGCGTATTTCCGGAGGTTTTCAGATTATAACTAATAGAGCTGCTCCTACTTCGTTCTTAAATTGAAAAAACACATTTATATTCTCAATTTTTACAGATATTTTTGAATGTTTTAACCAGCACCGAATCTTTCTCACTTGGATATTTTTGAGAAATCTTCCCTCATAAATTAAGAATAAAAAGCTATTTAATATTTATTTTGCAAGAAAAGTGATAGTTATTGGCCCAAAAATTGTATTTTTGCTTAAATAGTTTACTGCAGCAACTGAACAAGGGAACCTTGAGGAAGACATTTACAATTTTTATCGTAATAATCAGACGGTATCAGTACTAATTCCATCTTTGCCAGCAAATTGTTCATTCAATTGATACTATTTTCTTCCTAAATTCTCCAGTTCTGACTAAATTTTCTTGCAAAGTGTGTTCAATAGCGAAAACATGCATTAAGCAGAAAGCAAGAATAATCTTAAAACAGAGCATTACTACGGAAAATCATGAAAAATTGACTATTTTTCCAGAAAAGTTATAATTATTGATCCCAAAAATTGTATTTTTGCTTAAATAGTTTACTGTAGTACTTAACAAGGGAACTTTGAGGAATAAATTTACAATTTTTAACAAAATAATCAGACGGTATCAGTTCTAATTTCATCTCTGCCAGCAAATTGTTCGTTCGATTGATACTATTTTCCCCCTAAATTCTGCAGTTCTGACTAAATTTTCTTGCAAAGTGTGTTCAATAGCGAAAACATGTAAAAAGCAGAAAGTAAGAATAACCTTTAAGATTAGAACATTTCCATGGAAAATCGTGAAAATCAAGTTGCAGAAGCAACACAGAGATAATCATCAGTTATGAAGAAAATTTTGTTGAATTTGAGCCAATATCGATTAATTTTTTAAGAAAAACTTATCTCATTTTTAGTCAGTTTTAGCAATTAACAGTTCATTTTTCATCATTGATCTGAAATTCTGTACTATTAAGGTGAATAACTTCTCAGAATTTGTAATTTTTGTACACATTTGGGTTAATCATTGAGCAAAAATCTAGAAATTTTATGGAATATAGCTCTTAATGTTCATTTGTATTGAGAGTCCTATTTCAATTCTCCCTGAATTGGACAAAAAATCAGTTAATTATCCAAATAGAAGATTGAAAATGGAACATTTTAGACAGATTTGAATAATTTTTACTTTACTTTCTGAAAAATTACGGTTATTTTCACTATCTTCCGCAAGTTTCACTTTCGATTCAGCTTTTATGAGCTTTCTTGTTAATGTTGAGAGCATTATATAACCCGCTTTGTTACTCAAATAATGCTAAAAATTATCGTATTTCAATATTTTGCGTGAAAATTTTGGAAAAATCCAAAAATTTATTCAAATTTTTTTATTATTGTCTCAACATGATACCGTTAAAAATACAGTTTGAGCTCAATTTTAAACTCTGTACATGAATAGTTTTTTCAATTAGATCATAAGTAACAAAAAAATTAACAAAACTATGAGATTTCTGCAATTTTTTCCAAAATTTTAAATTTTTGCAATTTTTTCCAAAAACCTTCACTTTTTTCAATGTTTCAGTAGTTTTCAGCATAGTTTCAGGTAGATAGAAAATAAGATTATCCAATAAAATAAGATCGAATTACAGCAAAACTTATAGTCTTTTGAAATTTTTAACAATTACCATTGACTTACCATGTACCAAAAAACTAATTAAGAACCCTTCATTCTACAATCTACACTAATTAACGATTAGATAATGCGCGCCAAAATTTTTGCGAAAAAACTAGACATTTTCACACAAAAACCAAAATTTTTTTTAAAAACATGATTTTTTTCACGAAGTTTCGTTAGGTTTCAGTATAGCTTTAGATAGTTTTCTCGTTGAACCAAACTTATAAAACAAAAATCAAAACATCTAAACCGTAGAAGCTAGCTAAGAAACGCAAGTATCGGCAAAATCGAACTCAAAAAATTCAGGCGCCAAAAATTTTTCCGAAACTTACCATCTGAAACCTACTATCTTAATACATTGGGAAACCTATTCCCTATCTTAATACATTGGGAAATCTATAGCCTATGTTAATACATAGGGTGCTGACCGGATACTCTATAGCCAATGTTAATACATGGGGGTCAGCACCCGGCTGAACTGCCCCGACATATACTACTTGCGCTTCTCAAACACTAACAAGAACACGAAAAAAGCTGATGTATAAAAAGCAATAAAAAAAAGTAGAAAAAAACCGTCGAATTAATAAAAATTCGGCTACGTGTTGGATTCAAACCGCGACCTAGAGATTATGAGTCTCGCGCGCTAACTACGGACGCCTAATAAATAACAAACATAGGCAACTGACAGTTGGAAAAGAGTATGAACGCAAGGAAATTGAAAAAAAAAAAGACTTTTTTGTTCGACCTAGATGGCCTTAAAACTCTTTGAATTTGCAGAACAAGTTATGATTGACACTTTTTGATGAAATAACCCCAATTTGAGAAAACTGGATCAATAGATAAAATTTTTATTTCGATGGGAAATCTGATTGATTTCCATTTGCGAAATTAGAAGTTGATCACGTTTTTCAGTGAACTGAAAAAAAATCGGCATTCAAACCGCAACAAAAATCAAAATTGAGCGAGAACAAAAATTGACTAGCAAGCTGTCTAGAGTAAATAGAACCGGTATTTGAAATGCAAACAAGGTCAAAATTTGTCTGTTGGTTGATGCAATTGCATATTTGAGAAAACAATTTAGCGATTTTAATGGACAAGTTGTTTAAAAGAATAAGTCTAAGTTCCAAATTGAAAACGCTTGCTCATCGCGATAGTGCGAAAAAGCAGAGAAATTCCTACTTCCAAAAACATGACGGATAGATTCGAAACTTAATCCTTTGTCTTCTCATGTCGGTGTGTTACCTCTACACCAGATGCGCTGAATGGAAGATTTGTTCTTCGATTCTGAACTTTATATGAAGCAAGCTGAAATATCTGCGAAACCTTGCGATCTTTGTTTACGGAAAAAAATCAAGTACCCGGTTAAACATGCTTATCGCGGTGAGAAAGCTGTAGCCTGAGATATGTAGCAGGATCTGGAAAGAAAATCTATCGCCATTCGAATTTGAACGCCCGCATAAAACAAACTTCAGCTGTTTGCCACACTCAGCCACACGACAGTTTAACGCTAGTCATATGGGATATTGATAGGCACAACTTGTAGGATTAACATTATACTCAATAGCCCCGCCCTTAGTACAATTAACCCACACTTCTTTTGTAACCCTATAACTGTGGAGGTCGATTCAGAAGATCAAAATACTGACTAGCATATGGATTTAGTTGATGAAGATACCTTTCTCAGCCCCTAGCTTCTGATGCTCAAGGCGCAGCCGTCTACGGAGCTGAGATTATAAAACAAGCCCTGTAATATTTTGTAATATTATAAAGCAAGCCCTGAGGAATCAAGGGCGGTATTTTATTGAAGCAGAATATCCCTTCAAGTCGGAAGGCTGCATTCGTACACGAAACATTCATGGCAAAAAAAATTGTTGGACTTTTTTTTAAATTCAAGACTCTTTTAATACCTCTGCTCAGTGCTCATCGCTCCTGCTATATGCTCTATTTTCATTTAATTCCTCTTTCTCAAATATTTGATGAAGAACGTTTGATGTAACTTTTACTTCACAAAACATCATTTCGCAACCATTTTTTGAAAAATAATAAGCTATAACTAACCCTGATGACCACCTCCTCTGCCTAATCCACTCGCTATCCGTTTAGACTGGTTCATGTATTTTTGCTCTAAAATAATTTTTCAAATATCACGAGAGAAAGTATAATCACTCTAGAAAAAAAAATAAATTACAAAAGTGGCCCTTTAGTAACGGAAAGTGCACAAGCTGGATAGGGCCATACCAGCGTTAGAAAAATCCATATACATCAGCAAGCTGTATCATTTTATAAATGAAGTCATATATCAGCATTAAATGCCTCGTCGTAATGTTGATTTATCTTAGTAGTCCTTCCTCTACAATAGCGCTAATGGAGTTGTCGATTATGTAAGTCACCTACTTAAGTCACATATGAGGTTAAAGACAAATAGGCCCTATAACCATTGGCTCAAGAGTCAGGGACACTATCTCTTGTGTTTTCTACCTCAAGCGGTCGGAGCCAATTCGGTTCACTTGCGACATGAGACTAAAACCCTCGTTACAGCTTAAATGCCACTACCAAAAAATCCCTCCACTCTAGAAAAAAAGAACGGCCCCATACTTAGGTCTCGAAATACGCAAAATACACGAACGCTGTTAAAAACAGGGTCGGAACCTTATGTATAGTTACTTTTTATTAGACAATGGACCTTTGATCCATTTCAGATAGATCAACCTAAAAACTCTCCCTAACTCAACATAACAATATATGTAACAGTCGCCTACTTAAGTCACATATGAGGTTAAAGAAAAATAGGCCCTATAACCATTGGATCAAGAGTCAGGGACACTATCTCTTGTGAGAATGCGTTATAATTGTAAATTCAAACAAACGTTTACGCACATTTTTATGCATCTTCAGGTTTTAAAAATTCTAAACTATCTGTACAAAATGATCAAAGATCATAAAAAGTGTCAGACATAACATTATTCCAAAATTTTCAAAATTCAACCAATCAAAACTTTACAAATTATACTGAAATTATGCAACAACTATTATGTAACAATTTTAAACATTTTGTCACAAATTGCTGAGAAATTTTAGCTTTTGCGTTTTCACAATTTCGTTTTGTCGCTAATTTGCATGCTAAAATGTAAGTTATTTCAAAAATTTTCTGTTTTAGCCAGAATTTTTTTGATTCTGGAACTACAGCCTTAGTGTCAGCTCCCTACTTCTAAACTTGTCAAAGAGGAAGAGAAGAACGGAGCTGGTCAACGAATTTCAAGCACTGCACCAGGACGTCCAGCTGGAGCTAAAGTCTTTGCGGATTGTGTTCGAACAACAAGACAACCTGCCAGCTGTTTTGTCCAAACTACGTTCAAACACGAAAATGAAATCTCAATCGAGAAGGAGGGCGGAGAAAAGAAGACCTGTGAACAGAACAAGGAAACTGTTGATCCGACTGACGAGGAGGCTTCAACGGAGAGGGTGAGTTTAACTTGTGTTATTTGTGTTGCTTTGTGTCACGTGAAGTTTATTCCTCGTGGCCTGCAAACCAATGAGCACAGTTGTACTCCCACCTCCAATCTTGATTTGGACTTTAAAAAACAAACTCGGAAATTAGTCCGTGATTATGCATGATTATCAACGAGTTAAATTCTTGAGGTACGTTCAGAAAGATGGTTTGGCAATGGGGGTATCTCTTGCCGTTACTTTAGCGAATCTTTGGCTGAAGCAGTACGAAACTGCACTATCGAGGGATGTTCCCGAAATATTTTTGCCCGAGAAAGATCTTAACCGAATATGTCCCGAGTGCAATAAGAAATTCACGTACAGGTCAAAAGGTGTAGAATGTGAATGCTGTTTGAACTGGTTTCACATAAAATGCGGTGATATATCAGATGATGAGTATCGAAATATAAGTGAAACCGTCTGGTACTGTAGAAAATGCATCGCAATAAGAGAGAAAAAGAAGTCATTGCAGCAAGCTAAGTTTTTTCTCCGTTACATTGACAATATAGTGAGAACAGTGAAGGGTGATCCTGAAAAAGTGCTACGGGCTGCAAACTTACTACATCCAAATTTACAGTTCACAATAGAGACACCAAACACAAACGAAAAATTGGCATTTTTGGATTTAGAAATAAGTATTGACAAAAGCAGGAAAATTAGCTGTGGTTGGTATCAAAAACCAACAGATACAGGTAGCATACTAATTTTTAGAAGCTGCGCCCCCCTTCAGTACAAGAGAAGCGTGATTAAAGGAACTGTTCACCGGGTTTTCCGCAGTACGTCAACATGGGAAGAATATGATAAAGCTATGAAAATCAACCGGGAGCAGTGGTTGGATAACCAATATCCGGAAAGTTGGCTGTCGCGGGTTGCATCCCATGCCCTTGAAAATTTTATCAGGGAGTGCAAAAGCAAAAAGAACTTGGCTGAGAAAAAGAAGCCCTGTGACTATAGCAGTGATTCACCACCCATCTTGATGGTCCAATTTAGGGGGGAATCACAATCAGACATTAGCAAAAAAAGTGCGCGATATCACCAATGCGCTGATAATATTCACGACGAGGAAAATGAAAACTTGTATGCCCTCTCTAAAATCCTCCTTTTCCAGTGAACTGAAATCAAAAGTGGTGTACAGACTTGAATGTTGTGGGTGCAAATCCATCTATGTTGGCCAGACGGTCCGACATTTCACCACAAGGATTGATGAACACCAAAAAGAGGATACCCCAGATGGACAGCATATAAGGCAGTGTGTTAGTGAGAGTGGTAAGTCTGAGTTTAAATGGGAACTAATCGACCAGGCGTCCAGCAGCATCAAGTTTTTTTCACTAGAGGCGCTGCACATTAGGAAAGAGAGACCGGCAATTAACACGCGCGACTAGTCGGAGCCAATTCGCTTCACTTGCGACATGAGACTTGAACCCTCGTTACAGCCTAAAGGCCACTACCAAAAAACCAACCCACTCTAAAAAATAGGAATGTCCCCATACATAGGTCTCAAAATACCCAAAATACGCGAACGCCGTTAAAAACAGGGTCGGAACAGTCCGTACAGTTACTTTTGATTAGACGGTGGAACCTTGATCCATTTCAGATGGATCGAAACTCTCCCTACCTCAACATAACAAGTGTAAAACACACTCAAGAAAACTAAATTAGGTACTCACATACCAGCAAACTCGAGAATTGGAGTAACTTATTTAACTAGCGACTCTAGCATAAATGTAATAACTTGAGAAGTTTGCTATTGATGAATTCCAGCTAATATAAATGAGTTTTAACTTGAGAAATAAAATTTTGGGGCTGAACCATTGGGAGGCTTCGGTTGTCCGCCTTTCCACCAAAGGTTCACTCTGATTCTTTTCTAAACAATGTGTTCTCCTTTCGTAATCGTTCTGTCTCCTATTTCAGGATAAGACAGCTCTACTCTCTCGTGATTCTTATGTCTGGAAATTGCGAATAGCAATTTTACGCTGCTATTTTTGACTTTTTTTCTGCGATTGCAAATCTATTGTTCTTATCTTGTATTTCTGAGATTTTCAGTTGTCGTGAGAAAGTTGAGCAAGACATGTTCAATTCGAATTTTGAAAAATTCCATTTCATCCCAAAATCACGTTCGTATTGCTCAAGGTCAAACTTTCAAATATGACCGACCGGCACATACTCCCCGGACTCAAGATCGATGTCCTCATCGCGTGTCGCCGTCTGCCAGTTAAGCCCCAGAATTTTGAGTGGGGCTCAAGGTACAGTGCCAGTGGTCATTTACAGAAGTTTGCAGCAGGTTCAATTTTATGTACACCTCCAAAATTCACAACCATGCAAAATTGTCACACTATCGCTAAACAGCAATCAAAATCTGCATACGCCTGCACCTTAATTTTCTGCTTTGCAAGCTAATGATTTAAAATTTCTTTTATCCTATTCAATCAGGAAATTGTCATGCAGCATTTTCATGCAGCTCGGTACTCTTTCTGATGCTTTTTCATATGATCTTTCGTCACCATGTACAACCAATGTCGCTCGAAACCACGGGAAGAACCTTATGCGGCTCCATATGTGCCTGACCTCCATCGGTATGGCGAATACCTTGCACGCAGTCTCAAACAACTCAAGTCTCCTGCACAAATCAGTAGGGTATATTGACTCTGCCGTCGGTGTCTTCGACTCCCGATATTTCGGAACGTTCTCCTTAATCCATCGTAACGCCAACATTGAGCTTACGACCAAGAGGGTCACCTTCTGCCGGTGATCATGTAATCCGATCGACCGAATTTCTTCCACGTCCCACACTAAGTAGAGGTTTGCATGTTCTGGGTGCCACACCGTCTGTGCCAGACAATGACATGGGCATTCCCCACGTGTAATATCGATGCTCTTGAGATTGCGTTCTCCCAAAGCTTCCAGTAGAGGTTCCAATTCCATCATCTTCTCATGCATCGCATCATTCTCCTCCAGGTTTGGGGCACTATTCATCGGTTTCCCGATAAAGTTCTGCCTCTGGAAGTCACTCGTGTTTTCACCGTCCAAACCCAATAGTTCTTCCCCCAGATTTCACTTTAGTCACCTTTTTGTTCCCTTGGCACCGTCCTCAGGCCTTTCCTCAACAGTTTGTGTGAGTTTTGCGTTGTGTTGAGCCATTCGTACGCACTTGGGCACCGAGAAGGCTTTGTCTATTAGTATCCTCTGGCTGGATACCTCCACCATCGCCATGTGTAATGGATAGTGGCTTCCACATAGTTTGGCCATTACTGATCATACCAGAGACTTCGCAATTACTGGCAGACAAACCTTCCACCCTCTGATGAGCTTCTGGGTTTATTGCAATGCCCCAGGCCATGACTACACACTCAATGCTGTCACCAAGTGGTGCTCGGACTCCAGCATCTCCAGTGACTGTAGACTGCACATCCTCGAGAAGAACCCTAAAGCCGTTGCTATGTTCACAGTAGTGTTCGTGTAACACTCAGCCACTATTTGTACTTCACTCTTTTCTCTTTCTATGATGTCGCCAAACCAAGCGACTAGGTCTTTTCTTTGGAACGACGGTATTCTGACACATGATCGTCCCTCACAATTGTGCTCTCCGCTTACACACGTCAGGTGAAGACAACTACCCGTTCCATCCTCTTCACTGATCCTAG